TTTTTGTATATCCTTTCTACACACTTATTCCCAAGATATTTTTTTCAGTTAAGACTTCTTGCATTTGGTAACAATTTCTATACACTTACCAGTCAAACTATACTATAAATAAGGTTGAAGTCACAGACCACATATAATAAACGAAAAGGCATCTAAATAATATCTTCATTGTATAATAAGGGCAAAAATCTGTGACCATATGTAAATTTGATATTCTTCAAATTTCTAGTTAGTAATATTATTTTGTTAATATTGATTGTTTGAACACCCCAATTACAACTGGAAAGGTATAATCTTGCTTTAATCTGTGTCATTAAGGACAGTTACAGTCATACTTCAAAGTCTGTGTCATCTGGTTAAGACAGATATACTGTATATCGGGAAAAATTTTCGCCCAGTCAAATATTTGCCCATCCGTGGTAAAATTGATTTTCGCCCCATCGCCCAATATCAAATTGGCCCTTCACCTCTAATTGCTATATATAGAATATTGTTTACAATTGTTCATTGTGATGAGAAATTCTCCCTCATTATCGAGGGTGAAAAAGGCCAAAATTAAACTGCAGTGAATTTCCTGGTATACAGGAATATAGCACTTTTTCATTTAGTTTAGAATATATATCAATAACAATATCAGAATTCACTACACAAAACCTAGAGATACTACATACTTTCAGCACTCTGGTAAGACCTAGAGATACTACATACTTTCAGCACTCTGGTATCAAAATCCACTCACAACCAGAACAGCGACCATGAAAGACAGAATATGGTTCGACCACCCCGGTGACGAGATCTTTTATTTGTATTCCACAGCAGTGTAAAAGGATATGTTTGGTACAGCTGAGGAAGGAGGGGATAACTCCGTAAACGGTGTTCGTGTTGTGAACCAGCAGGGCGTTCAGAACTTTATACACAGCATGGAATGCTGGGACAAAACTGGTGCTGCCATCTAGAGGAGTGAACTGACAACAGTGGAGGGCCAGGGAGGCTGTGTGAGAGGACATCAGTTTCTACAATATAGAACAATATAGTATATTAAAGCAGAGAAGTGTGAATGGTTGTCAGTTGGGTGGTAATTGATTCAGATTAATTCACATCACCATGATCTATTTATGTACTGTAACCATATTGATAAGTACATAACTTTAAAAAAATCCATAAATCGTTCACATACTGTTACATTTGCACTCAAATATTTTAAATTTCAAATCAATTTTCTATAGCCCAGACACTTGTTATGTGGTCAATAAATTTAAAGGTACACTGTAATGTTATTGCATGAAATACACAATGACAATGGGGCCTGAATATATAACTCACTGGTCTTCAAAGTACCCTTCAGCAATAACTGTTTTTATCTCATCTTTAATAATTTTTAAAAGTAGATATATACAGTTTCCATTTCACCATATACTTAATCTATTAGTATTTACTCAGTTCATATTTTTAAACTCAATTTACCATATTTTAAGTTTATATACTACCATAAGCTCTGCTCACATAACTTATAAATATATATTACACCTATGATTAAAGCTCTGCTTCAATAAATATGTAAGGGTGAGGGTTTGGGGGGTGGAGCTAGGGGGTCAATACTCACAGACCCGAACTCCAGCATTTTGACTTGTGTGGTCAGTAGAGGGACAGCCACAGAACTGACCAACCCCTCGTCGCCTGAGCCGTGTATGTGCTGCATCAGTGACACACAGTTCAACATCAGCTACAATCAAAGACACAAAATAATTAAAAGACCTGATGAATTGATATTGTGTATCTATGGAGTCCAATATCATACTGATAAAATACAGATCCGGATGTGCTATAGAGTTTCGTATATATCACAGAGCTCCTCCAGAACTCATTTTTGGCTGGAATCCGTTGGCAGTTCCAACAACCAAATTGGTGAATCAAAAGATGAATGAGTTCTCATATTTTGGCCTCCTAACATGACATTAATGTTCCATTTTTGATGCTTCAAAATTTCGGGGAGCAAATTGAATATTAATCTGGGATAATCATCCTACAGAAACCTTAACATGCAGGAGGGAAAAAGTAGTTATCATATAGAAGTAACAGCGTACATGTCAACAAAGATAGCATTTGTTAACTTTAATCTATGGATGTACACATCAACTTTTG